CAGCACCGATGTTTACAATCTTTTATGTTGTTTTTTAACTCTGATGTTTTCAAATTGTGTTTTTTTATTTTCAGTACTGATGTTTTCAATTTGTGTGTATAAATGTTTCCATAAAAATTGTTTACAAGCTATGTTCAAAAGTAAGGGCGGAGGAAATGTAGTGTATTAATTTAATTATAAAATGAATTGTATATTTCTAATTCAAATTCAAATAGTTACAAAGTTTTAAATTTGCTAGCTGGATCCATGTACCGTTAGATATCGTACGATGTGACGTCATATGGCCTGATCGAATAAACTAACCCCATTGGTTGTTTCCATCACACCACCTTCCGTTCCCACGGAAAAGTTTTTCCTCCAGAGAAGGCCTCGTTGCAGGGTGCAGTAGACATGTTCAAGGGTGCATGCACGACACGCCGTTCGCGTTGACGTTGAATCCTGTAAGCGATGACTGCCTCTGCCGCACCGTGCCGGCATCCGGCTTCACTACTAAACCGACGATTGCCTTTAAGTTGTGTATACTTTATTGTGTACACATTTTACTGCATCTAAATCAGTTTTTTGTATATCTGTATATCTTACCGTTCTCAAGCATTGCGCGTGTAAGCGTGGTTTAAGTAATATTCGCCCCCTCCCCCGTTTTTTCTTTATACCGGAAGAAGCACACAGGGGACGGTAGGGGACTTTTAGGATATGGTCAAGGATATCATAAAGAACATCTGTGCCAAAATTCAGCTTTATATCTCGCATTTCCGGGTTTCCATGATTTTTTACCTAGATTTACTGGGCTATAAGGTTTCTTGGATGTAGTCATATTATTTTTAAATCACTTGACTTTTATGAAAACATATATTTAATCTCCTTGCCGTACCAGTTTAATTCAGCCTTAGAGGGGTTTCTTTGCCAATCATCATAAAGTTAAGTCTGTGTGTTTCCTACAAAATAGTAGCTCTTCGGCTAACACCTTTGTTCATTGTTTGTGGGAATCTTCATATTGTAGGTGTTCTTCAGGATGATAACGATAGTAATTTTTTTTAAATCTCTACTTGTTAAAATATATCAAATTGCCCAGGCTTTCTCGATTTTTTACATTGTATGTATGAATGTAAATTAAAATAGTAGGCCTAAATATTTAATTTCAACAAAATCAGTAAATGTACCCAATACGTTGAATTGAAATAGTATATTTCGTACCTAGGGCCGAAAATGAGGTTTTGCCGGCTCTAGATAGTTTTTAAGTTCGAGACGAAGTCGAGAACTTAAAAAGATCGTGAGCTGCAAAACCATTTCGGTCCGTGGTACGAACGCTATTTTTCACCACACTATACCCAATTACTACTATTCACCACAATAATAATGCACACTGATAGTCAACACAAATACAATTTAAAGGTTGTGTGAAGAAATAATTTGAGGAATCAGCAAAAATAATATTAAACTAGAGGACCCATGCTGCTCCGCAGCGTTAAAATAAGTATAATATCCGAGAAATAATCAAATTTATGATTTTTGATTGAGTAATACAGTATCTTAATCGCTTAAATAAAAGCCGATATTTCACTGAAAGTTCTTAGACCAAAATATATAGGATTATATGATTATAACTGGTGGAATACATCTTAAATTGATGTACGAATTCAAAAATTATACAAATTATGTTTTTAGTCGAGGAATACAGTAGGTAAGTATATGCCGATGCTTGATGTGAAATCTTTGCATGCATTACTTCAATTTGAGACCTCAATCATGAAAATCGGTCTGGTAGAGGAGCCAAACGAACTCGGAAAATAAAAACCATAATTAACTCCCCATAAGAAATCCATGGGGACCAAATTTCGTTTACGTATAGGCCGAGTGGTACTATCGATAAATATATGCCGATTCTTGATGGCAAATCTGTACGTGCAGACCTTTAATTTGAGACCTCAATCATGAAAATCGGTCGGGTAGAAGAGCCAAACGAACTCGTCAAAGAAAAACCAAATTTAACTCCCATAAGAAATACATGGGGAGCAAATTTCGTTTACGTATAAGCCGAGTGGGGTTATTGTTATTGATAAATATATACAGATGCTTGATGGCAAATCTGTGCGTGCATACCTTCAATTTGAGACCTCAATCATGAAAATCGGTCAGGTAGAAGAGCCAAACGAACTCGGCAAAGGAAACCAAATTTAACTCCCTTAAGAAATACATGGGGAGCAAATTTTGTTTACGTATAAGCCGAGTGGGAATATTGATAAATATATGCAGATGCTTGATGGCAAATCTGTTCGTGCATACCTTCAATTTGAGACCTCAATCATGAAAATCGGTCGGGGAAAAGAGCCAAACGAACTCGGAAAAGAAAAATCAAAATTTTTTAATATATAAGATGTTTTTTGATTGAGTAATACAGTATTTTGAACATAACTGATACGAACGATCTATATCTCAAATGAAAGCTTTTATTTCTAGGAGTATTTTAAGAACAAAAAATATAAACAACTAAAATAAAAATGGGGTTATTGATCACTGGTCGTCGGTAAGTCCCAAAATAATTAAATTTTTTATTGTTTGGAATTCAGCAGCGCGCTTCAGGTACGTCCGATCTTAATAATCAAGGGCTCAAATGAAAGCTGGTATTTCACTGAAGGTTCTTAGACCAAAACATATAGGATTACATAATTATAACTGAGGAAATATATCTTCAATTGAAGTAAAAATAAAAAAAAAATCTAATTATGTTTTTTGGCCAAGTAATACTGTAGATAAATGAATGCTGATGCTTGATGGCAAATCTACGTGTGCATACCTTTAATTAAAGACCAAAATTATGAAAATCGGTGGGGTAGAAGAGCCGAACGGACTCGGAAAAGAAAAACCAAATTTATCTCCCATAAGAAATGTACAGGGAGCAAATTAGGTTTGTGCATAACTCGAGTAATACGTCAGATAAATGAATGCCGATGCTTGATGGCAAATCTACGCGTGCATACCTTTAATTTAAGACCAAAATCATGAAACTCGGTCGGGTAGAAGAGGCGGACGGACTCGGAAAAGATAATAATAATAATATTAAATAATAATAATATTAAATATGATTTTTATTATTTAAATTATTATTTAATATGATAATAATATTAAATAGTTGCTAGGCAACGGTGACAGTAAAACAATTCCATTGCAATTATATGGATACTGATTGTGTATTTAATATGCATTCATGTTAAGTAAGCGGGCAGCTGATTTTGCGGCCCTAGGGATGTAAAAACCTGCTCGGTCCCCAAATAACGATGACAGCTGGTATGGCTAGCAAAACGTAACTTTCAGCCACCAATTAAAGAATGTAAAACAGCTAAAAACATCATAGTGTGGTGAAAAATAAATAACAGCAATTAAATTATACAGCTGATCAAAATGAAAACAATTATGTTCTTCATAAGGATAACATGGGAGTTTGCAAATCTACGCAACAAGCTCTTTCCAATGAGACGTCAATGGATAAAATCGGTTAAGAAATGGCGGAGGAGTTCAACCGACAAAGTTTCATGTAGCGTATTAATTAGTCCTCTAGGGAGTCAAGATTTTAGTTTTGCCATTTTCCCTCCACTTAATAAGTTAATGATCATTAATTAAGCCTTTAATTAAATAATTTATTAAGAAAAGACAAAAACAAATATTTGAAATATCTTTTCTTGATTCCCTAGTACTCTATGTTATAAACCTAATTATTAAATTGCAAAACAATATCTTTATAAATAACACTGGCATGTTGCTTCAAATTATGCAAGTATGTTCTGTAAAATTTAACATTGCTCTAAACATATATTATAGGGAATTTAATTGTCTTCTACATTGACTATAACTTATTTTTTGCTAAAACGCACCAAAACGGAGATAACTAGTGAACCTAATAGGTTTCAACTTATATGCTGGTGGAGAGGGGGGGAGGTTGAATTTTGGCCCGTAAAAGTTGATTTGCTGGCCAGGGTAAATTTACAGGAGGACTAAATTCCAGCCCATATACATTTGGAATTTTAACTTGATTTTTTCTGATTAAATTCACAACCGTGACTATGTTTAATTCCACCATTAATTTATTTAACCCATGTTGTGCAACTCAAAAGTTTGCTGGTGGAATTTTACCCCCCTTGGTTGTGACATCAGTTTTCTCTTTTGGTAAAATTCGAGGAGGGTATAATTCCGCTACCCCGTAAAATATAATGTTTCATTACCCCTTACAGAAAGTAGCTATTTTTTATAACAGCTGATATTAACAAAAATAATTGTTTTCCTACAGTTACCTAACAATGTACATGTTCTCTCACTGATTTGAGAAAGCAAAGTGGCCAATTCGCTCACCAGTGAGACAATGTTAACTTTGTCTCACTCTAATTACTTTGTCTCACTCCAGATTTGCAACGTGAAGGCACGAATTAGTGAGCGTGTAACATGCAGGCAACGTCGTATGCGCGCGAAATGCGTTGGCAGCACTGGCTGTAAATCAGCTGGTCAGCTGTTGTACTGTTGTATTTGTCACTTCACATTAAATGTTATATTAAAAGTTCACTTCTGTGTAAAAAATAGGTTATGTTTCTTCACCAATTTATTTTTTTTATGGTAACTGTAGGAAAAGTATAATGTGCAACTCGAGTTCAAAGTACAATTGCCTCACTCGATAAACCATTCCTCACTCGCCTACGGCTCGTGAGTAAGGATTTCTCTCGAGTGAGTCAATTGCTCACTTTTCTCACTAGTTGCACAAATAACTATTCCCAAGCTATAATCCCAGAGCTTAGGAAAAACTATTAGCTGATTTTCTCTTGCTCTAAATCAGTTCTCCATTTAACCTTTTAACCACGGTGCTAGTATTTATCTACCATTTATTTGTAAAATTTAAATCCGCTGTTTATATAAGTTGTTTGGTCTTGAGGTGTTAGCTTGAATGCTGCTTTTTTCATAGTTATCGTGTTTTTGTAGTTAGAATAAACTAAAAATCTCAACTTTCCTTAAGCAAGGTTTACAAACAATGACAATGATGGGCAGTTCTCCACTACTTACCAAGAAGTTATGAGCTCCATTAAGAAGGAAATCAAGGAAGATTCTGGTTCTGTTTGTTCCACATGTTCATCCTGTGACACATGCAGTACTGATACCTGGGTGAGTAATATAGCATCTCTGTTTCCTCATCAGAAACTGGAGAGAACCTTCTCTGCGAAGGAGTGGGGGGGGTGATGTCACTCTTCTCTTGAGGGAACACCATTACGGTAACGAGACGTTTTGATTCCATCGGTGTTCGTTGCGTAGTTGATAGCGTCTTGGACTGGTGATCAAAGAGTCTCCGGCTCGAATCTCGCCGGCGACACTAACTTTTTGTCCAAGATTATGCATATTTTTTTACTTTTAACTTTATTTTTTTAAGAACAATTTTTTAAATTGGTGAACCTTTGTTTGATTTATATTTTATATATTTTTTATATCATCAGCAAGTTTGGTTGGTTTGGTTAGGTTATGACAGTTTAATTTTATAATTAAAAATTATAAGTAAACCTTCATTAGATTTTTATCTTATATCTTTTTTATATTATCAGCAAGTTTGGTTGGTTAGGTTAGGTTATGACAGTTTAATTTTATAATTATAAAAATCAAGTTAAAATTAATTTTTTAATTGAACATTTAAAAATTATTTTACAATTAAAAAGTTTATTATCTAACTAAAAAAATATAAAATAAATTTAAAGATTTTCTTAAATTGACGTGAGGAGCTCTCCCACAATCCCCCACTCCTTCGCAGAAAAGGTTCTCTCCAGTTTCTGGAAGAGGAACATGAGATGCTAGTGGGTGAGTAAGGGCATAAACACACACATCACAGCATGGCCCCCACAAGGGTGGGGCTGGCGCAACTCTGGTCACAGGGCCCGGGCCCTCAGGGGGCCCAGGCCTACCCGTTTTTTTTTTGTTTTTTCCATCGAAGATTACAGCAGATTATAAATTGAAGATAAAATATAGTATATATATAAAAAAAAAATAAAGTTAAATAATTTAAAATGTATTAATTCTAGATTCTAGGATATAGTTTATATTTAAATACTATAGGTGCGTAGGTGCGTACCGTAGAATGGGGTGAATAGAAACACTTTTTGACTTTTAAGCTTCTGTAAAAACGATATTTTTAATTTTTGAATTTTCAACACTAGCTCTTATTTCCGGTCTTGGACTCCTCTACTCAAACCAGTTATCAATTTTTTTTTCTTTTTAATCATTAAGCAGAAAAAAAATAAAATATGGCTGTTTCTATTCACCCCGCACTTTGGGGTGAATAGAAACACTGTGTTAAATTGATGATTGTTGCTTTTCCCCACTTACCAGGGGCAATAGAAACATGAAATTTATGCTGGTTAGCTTACGTTGTTGTAAATAAAAATATTTAAAGTTAATTAACACATTTATTTATAAGTACGAAGTATAAAAACATCGTTTTCATAAACCCTTATCCAAACAAATCGGAGAACATAAATGACAATGGGTGAAATCCGATTACAAAATCTTACATAGAAACCAATAAATGATGAGTAAAATCAGACAAATCTTCCTCAAAATACAACACTCCCTTAAATTTTCAAGTTGTACACGGCTTGGGAGTTGGAAGCCGACGTACTACGTCATCGACTTTGAAGAGTCTTAATCTGTCTCTCAGAACTTGTTGGTTTGCGCAATTTTCTTGATGAATCTTCCTATTTATCCTTCCTCGTCAAATTCAATAACTTTTGCAACATGATAGCTAGCAAGTTTTGTTTTTCCCCATTACTTTGACAATTACATGATCATGAAGGGACAACTTTGAAGACTCACTGATGTCTTGAGCTAGGTATGCTGGTTCTTCTTTATCAAATTGTTCGTCTTTGTCACTTTCTTCCAGTGAGAAGTGTGTGTGGAATCATCTTCATCTCTGGTATTTTTTTTCTTTTTTTGGGGGTTTTCAGGTCAACCTTTATTTGCACCACTGGTTCCAAAAAAAGTGTTTCTATTCACCCTGGTTTTGCAAAATCATGACATAACCTAAATTAAAAATAAAATAAAAAAATATAGTTTATTCTAAGGCTAATCTATTAACACACTTGGTTTTAAGATACCTAAGACAATATAAAAAATGGTTATTAACATAAATACATGTAATAGGTTCATACTTAGAGAGAAAGTTTTGAAAAGAATATTTTTCGCCAAAATTTTCAAATGATGTTTCGCATCATCCAACATCCGAAACAGTGATACCAATATGCTGAAATAATTTTTTCCAGGTAGATAGGATATGGTTATAATGGGAGAAAATAATTCCCTTATATAAAGTCAATGTATAACAAAGTTATAAAAATGTGAATCATTCATTGAAGTTTTGTTTCTATTCACCCTGTTGTTTCTATTCACCCCATTCTACGGTATGTAATGTACTATACAACAGCAGAACAGCCAGCTATCTAGGTTATTTGACACAAACAAAAAAATTCTTTACTTTTGAAGTTTAATAAATATGAAAGATTGTAATAATTTTGACCTAAGTTTTCTTCTCAATTCGCTCGGTATAATTATTTTTTTTGTTTTTCTCCGTGACTAATCGCGCAAGATCGGTAGCTCAGGCATCCACTCCCAAAAAATGTAGTATTGTTGCTTGATGAAAATTTACACTGAATAAAATATGATATCATTGGTGTAAGCTGTTAAACTCGATTTACGAAAGTTTTTTTCCTACTCCATATTACAAAGTACAATTATAGCAGTTAAGATAGCCAAACGCTTTTACAGGGAAATAAAAAAGACAAAATATTAATAGGCATGGAGCTTTTGTGTATTGATATAATAGTTTTAATTGTTGAATTCCTGTAAGGCTTATAAAACTCATTGAAGAACTCTTTTCTTCCTTAAAAAAGGCTGCAAAAGTGCCATTTACCATACTCACAAATTTAATACCTAGATTGCCTTAAAAACTCACTAAAATACATGACATTTTCAAAATTTTTTGAAATTTTTTGAATTACAGTTTCCCCGGACCCCCCTCTAAGTTGGGGGGTATTCCATACCCCCCACACCCCCCGGTTGGTAGGGGGGCCCGAGCCAGATCCTGGTAACAGGGCCCACAATTAAATGTGGGGGCCATGCATCACAGTACAGTTTTTACAGACATCACTTTGAAAACCACTTTTTCGGGTTCAGAAGGACCCAATAAATAGAATATTTCCACCCAAAACTCAAACATATTTGCAAATACAATACTGTACTTTCTCCATTTACTATGTATAGGGAGAGAAAGTAAAAAAAAAAAACTGCCATATAAGGAAAGAATGTACTGTAGGAAGCTCGATTTTTCAAGTATAAAGGGTTAAACTACATATATCAACCTGATAACTACATAGAAAGCCTGATTAAGCTTTGGTTGTTTATAGATCTTCAGGAAGAGGTAAATCACCAAACGATCTGTTCCATCTGCACATTACAAAGATTTCAATGTTGTTCTTGTCTTTTATAAAACCTTAAAGCTATAAGATTAACATTTATACGAGGCGAAGGATTTTGACAGAACTTGCACAAGTTTTGTCTCTAAGTATAAACACATATAGATGCAATTATACCCGAAACGTGGATGCGAGTTGTCCTGCAAGCACTCATGCAAGACAGTGTAGTGGGTCGTTGCGACAGATGGTCACGAAACAATTTCAACTTATTTATAACTATTTTGACTGTCAGACACAAAAATGTGCGCGATTTTTGAATGTGTTAACCTAACCTAATACGTTCAACACTAGTTCTTAAGAGTTCAGGTATTCTTTTACAGATGAATATCACTTCCCAAACATTTTAAAACAGTGCTCAAAGCATTTATGTGTAAAGACAATTATGAATTAAATATGATACTAAATAAGAGATGTGTTGTATATAATAAAGACTACCTTGTTTATTAAGAAAAAAAATCATGGTTACTAAGAACACAACATCTTTTACAATTTTCTGATCTTGAAAAACCAGGAAATCTCAGAATCATAAAGTTGAAGCGCATTTGCAGGAGGCATTGGGTATTGATGAGGTCAAGATAGCCCAAGTCACCCCGCGCCCGCTGCCTCCTGACGTGGAGAGGGAAATGACTGACAAGTTGAGTGAACTCTGCGTAGAGAAGCTGCAGCGCCAGCGCAGACCTCAGAGTCCTGCTCTTGCAGTAGAGTCAGGCACAGAGTCACGAGAACTCACAGTCCGCAGCCCTGGCGCAGATAGTGACAGGCTCTCCAGGTGTGTTACAATCCTTCTATACTCTTCGTCACAAAAAGAAAATAGCTATGTGGGTCGCCGGAATTTTATCTCCCTGGAATTTTACCCCCTGGGCAAAGCTGACGTCACTATGACGTAGTAAACAGAGTGCTCAAAAGTTTGTTCGTGGGTCGAATTTTACCCCCGCAAATTTGGAAGTCTAATGAAAATAGACAGAGCGTGATTAATTAGATTAGCAATAAAAACCGGAATTTTACCCCCTGTCCATATAACTAGCGTTTAGACAACTGAAGATGTACAGGCCGGATTTTTAGCCCCGGAATTTTACCCCCTGGCCGGATGCTGTTTAAAGTTATAGCAATGTGACCATGTCCATGCAGCGGTAGGATTAAGACTATAATTGCATGTATTGAAAGTGTTTTTTTTTTGCATATTCAAGATCCATGTGTGAGAAGTGGAGTTGAAACACCAATTTTATTCTTTAGTTGAAGCAATTTTTGGAAAATCTATGTTGGTATCAGTTATAGACAAAAACGGTGCATTACAGTAAAAATACCCCCGCCACAGAAAACCTGCAGACTAAGCAAATTTCCATTTGCCTGAATTGTTTTTAAATTAAATCTATTTAAATAACATTAGGTTTAAGGAGTACCTAGGTTTGCTGCTACAGGGAGGCTAATAAACTGTATTGTTTGGCAAAATATAATTAGCTAAGTATAAAATAAATAAATTTGCCAAGTTTGATCAAAATATTTCCATAAACAAGCAAACTACAACATTTTACAATATTCTCCAAAAGAATAACATGGACATTTTTAATTTGAAACTTTTTAAATTTTCCCCGTTACCAATAACACTTTGGTATACTAAGTTATTTGTTTTTTAATCTCTTTGAAATGCTCTAGAGAGAAATTGGGGAATTTTGAGTTTTGAGGGTCAAAAATGAGAAAAACCAATTTTCCCCCCATAAAACCCCCCGTAAAACCCTGTTCCCATGGTCCGATCATGCTGGTTCGCGAACCTAATGTCTTCAGAACCTCAGCTTTAGCGCTCAGTGTGTCGGCTGCGGAGTATGCACCAGTATGGAATGCATCGTCACATGCAAAAAAGGTTGACATTGCAGTCAATGACATGGCTCGGATTGTAACTGGGTGTTTGAAACCAACCCCAGTACACAAACTCTATCCTATAGGGATCGCCCCTTCATCAATCCGACGTGATTTCGCTGCCAACGCAGGAAGGACTAAGCAAGAGACAGACCCTCGTCACCCATTACTTGGCCACCAACCTGCAGAGCGACAGCTTCGGTCCAGAAAGAGTTTTTTATCACGGAAACGAGTCCTGGATGGATCACTCTCAAGCAATCGGGTGGCAAGATGGGAGGCCACGTTGACTAACACTCTCCCATACCAGCCAGGGAGGAACTGGCTCCTGGTGGAGGCCTGCATTACACGGTGTGGAAGACCCTAAATCGAATCAGGGTCGAGGTACCAAAATGCAAGACAAACATGCAGAAATGGGGTCTCTTACCAGACGAAGAAAACATCTTGTGTGCGTGTGGTGCTGTTCAGGATACTGGCCATCTGCTGATCTGTCCACGCCTAGACCAGTCTTGCACATTAGATGATATTTTACAAGCGAATGACAAAGCCATATCGGTAGCTAATTTTTGTAAAAGCGAAGTCTGATTTCCGGACACGGAAAGTTAGTAGTGTGAGATCCAGCAAAAAGCCTCTTCATTCATGCTCCGGGCGGCCAGACTGCAAATGTAGTGCATGAGGATGCACTCAGATAAACCACACACATCCTATTTGTCAACGAAAGAAACCTTGGGTGAAAGAAGGGGAAGATATTCTAAATACCCTAATTTAAACCACTTCTCATTAAAATGTTTTATTGTAATTTTTAGTAAAAAAAAGGCATATTATTACCATTATGTTTAATAGTTTAACTGCCATTATTTCCATATAGTATTACTTTTTAATAAACCATACTTACTATTGTGTTAGTTATAACTCTTTCTTTTAATTATTAATTTTATTATCATGCTTGAATTTATACTTGACGTATTAAGATTCCTCATTGTATTGTTTGTATGTATATTTTATTCAACCCGTACGTAGAAAGGGTACACAGCTAGTATTTTAAGAAAATTTAAAGATAAATATAACGCTTCAGGCGAGAATCGTTTTGGGTGTTTCAGGTTTGAGTAATAGTACAAGTACACTAACCACTGCACCGCAAGCTCCTCTGGTTGAGAGGAATACACGAAACCGAAAGGGGAAGGGTAAAAATTACATAGAACGAGGTGTTGAATATTGCTTGATTTCGAGCAACAGGTGCACTAGTTAAATCAATAAATGATTCAAATTTTACTCAACTACTATAATTGATTTATTTATTTAGGCTTTGCTGAGGCATGTATTCACTATAAATAATTAATTATGTTACGTGCAAAAATTGAGATAATAAATAATGAGTTATTTTACCAAGTAGGCCTAATATGTATGTTGACAGGAGAAGTCACAGAACTCCTGGGGGAAGTAGAAAGACTCCCTCCAAAACCACTAGAGGCCTAGACGCAATGTCAGGGCTGTGGAACATGCTTGCTACATATGATGAGTTTGTGGTCACCCCTCCAGGGTAAGCTCAACTCAACTTAACAAAATATCTATATTATTAAAATAATTTGTTGGACTTTTGTGTGCAACAAATCGACACCTAAATATTCAATTTAAAACTCTTATCCTCTATGTGCCTTTTGCGGGTTTAGATGATATCCTGAGAAAGCTCTTTGTCCTACAGGCTTTTAAAACTTCATAGTTTGTGCTGAATTATGTTGTCAATCATCTGAGCTTTTCAAGTTTACATTTTTGTTTACATCAAAACAGATGGCGATGATCCAATTTTGTTTACATCCATACTAAATTGGGTTATCTGTAGTTGGTGATGTTTCAGTGAATTCAAGTAAAATGTTGTAATGTTATTTGTATAAAATGTAAAGAAGAAAATGACTTACGTTAGATATTATGTTTTCATGTTTCATTAGTATTTGTAATTCAATTAAGATGCCTCGAAGAGATCGGGCTTGCAATACAAATAATAGGGATATAAAGAGAGTCAATCTTTTTCATCCCTATCAACTATATATCAAATATATCAAGGATTTTGAAGTCACGAAGTGACGCAGGTTGCTAGTATTATATTACAATACTTCTTAGTCAGGGAATAAATTCGTCCTTTTGTAATTTTCTCCATAACCTTTTGATTGTACAACAATGCTTCAATATACAACATTGTTTTTTAAGCTCTACACTGGCTGCATTGAAAATTTGGCACACCCTGTTCCCATGACCTGACTTGACTTGTCGTGAAGTTCTAGTCCAGTGAGCTGAAACTCTACTGGACTGAGGCCGTTTTAGGACTTTGTCCTCTTCAGTCTGGGGAAGGATTGCAGCTGCATCAGAGATGTGTAAATAACGAAAGAGTGTAATAATGAAGCTCAATTCTGCCGTAGGCTGGTTGGGGTTGGGTTGGTGGGTTTTTGTTTTGATTGAGGTTGGTTGTGGGATTGGTTCATGGTTTGTCGGGTGATATGTTGTGATTGGGTTGGGTGTTGCAAGTTTATTAGGTAGCGAATTTCCCTATTGGGAAGTAGCTATTACCGTAGGTGGCATGGTAAGACCTAGGCACGGGACCGATTTACTTTTTCGTTTTGAGGTCCCTAGAGGCCAAAAACACAATCTTTTCAAATTCATATACATATATATATATATAACTAGTACGTATGTATGTACTACTATGTATGTACTATGTAAATTAACTAGCTGTTTGCCCGTTCTACGTACGGGAATCTTGTAGCAGGGCCGATTTACCAAATAGTCAGGGTAGGCACGTGCCTAGGGCGCGAAGCAATTGGCTTTTTCTGGGGGGCGCCAAAAATTTGGAAAATAAACACAATTGGTGGATGTATTTGGATGCGATCGCGGTAAACTTCTGATAATCCCTCGTGGCCGTGTAGACATCGTAATCGTCTCCCGCTTTTGCGGCAAGGTTCTTACTATTTTCCATGGTCGGGTCGTTGAAACATAATTAACATCTTCAATGATCGAGGCAATATATGAACATATCCCGTGGTCGTGAGGAGATTATCATCGTCTTGAGCGATCGCTGCATAATTAATTGTGACCATCCCACGTGGCCGTGTAGAAATCATTATTATATCTCCCACTGTCCTGTAGACATCTTAATCATCTCCCACGGTCGTAAATGTATGGTAATCGTCTCCCACCATTACGGCAAAATGTTAATCATGTCCCGCAGCTGTGTGGAGATCATCTTCGTCTTCCGCGATCGTGGCAATATTCTGATCATCCCTTGCGGTTCTGAAGATATCATCATCGTCATCGGTTCAAAAAACTCCCGCATGATTCCTGGATTTCTCGGTCAGTGGACACCCTGTTATATATATTGCAAAGGGGCGCTACTATTAGATGTGCCTAGGGCACTGACAGGGTCAAAAACAGGCCTGTCTTGTAGTAAGTTGAAACCTTATATTCAGTGCATATTTAGTGTGCATTTTTCCAGATATGCTGGCAAAACTATTACTGTATAGGAATACATATAAATCTTCGCAAATACAATATCTGACAGGTTCAAAGCCAAAACGAATGCTTCGCAATTAAATGTCACCCGATCATGTTAGTCCATATTTTATATCTAATGATAAAAGGAATTGCTTTATAGATCTATGAGGCATAGTCCTAAGGTAGGCCTGTAATTGAAAGTTACTTTTGACACTGGTTAAAAGTAGTTAAAATACTACCTCAACCTCACTACTGCACACTTTACTTTTTCTACTTTACTTTTAAAAAAGAGGTTGGCGGCCTCTTTTAACCTTGCATTTGCCCGTCCACATAGACTAACCGCCCGGTGCGTGGAACGTTTACAGCAAAGCAAGGGGGTACAGTACAAAGGTGAACTGTACTGATAAATTTTAGTGGCAGTGACCAGGATCCGAACCCACAACATCGCTGCCTTGGGCCCGAAGTCCGCGACGCTACCGACACTGAGCCACCAACTCACTAATTCACTTCATTTGGGTTAAAATTTTCATTATCAAAGGCGCTCTTGTCTTTTCCACGTGTTAGAAGTTCTCTCTGATTACTATGTTCTGCCTGCCTTTTGTGCACAAATCACATGTTTTATTATATTGTTAATACTCTATTTACATTACTTGTTTACATTTTGTCAGTTCTTAGAAAATCATGTTCATTAAACCATCTGTTGAATTTTATCTTTTTTACTGCATCAATTTTACTATCTACCATTAACACCACAAAACACTGAGAAATAAGGACATTAATGCGTTACCAACAGACATACACACACAAATACAAAATTGAATTAGGGGATCTGCTACGCTTCAACCAAAGCAAATTACAAACAAAATAATTATTTGAAAGTTTTGATAGTGTCATCAAATTTTATGATAATCGTCTTTAGGCCTAATCAAACTGTAAAATTGTTGTGTAAATCCGTTGGCAAATATATAAATAAGTAAATAAATACACAGTCCAAAAAGCATTGATACGTTATGAACGCCAAGCTTTAAAAATTCATGATGGTTTGCTAAAAAAATCTTTCAACTAATGTTTTATCATTTTCATAGCATAAACTAACATTTTGGAGTCCAGACAGAAAATGCAAAAATTATACAGTTAGACATCAATTAAATTTAATAAGAAATAAGGTGCAGCACTAACGATAACTATAGTTGTAAATAGTGATGTGTGTGTACGTAAAAATGATTCTTAATGCTACCACCAGTTCTAAGGCTGTGGTTTCCTAGACGCGTAATAGATGCGCTGCGGTTTAGATGCGCTGCGTCTTTTATCCAGGTCCCAAAACGCAGCTGCCGTGAGTGGTTTCCTAGACTGCGTACAATACACACGGTTGGTGCGTAACATAACTTCACGGGAGAGATTACTAGTGGCTACTATGATGTTATACGATGATTTAGATAATGAAATAATGACATGGATATTTTGGCATTAAAGCTTTGAAGAAGCGTAAGCAGTGAAAAGTACATGATTAGGAACTGTACGTAGCCCTCTCGGATCTTTTAAAAGCAGTCTTAGTGTTAAAGCAAACATGTCAATTTAAAATGTAAACAATAAATCTTAATTTACCCTGTCCAACTTTGCTTTTACTGTTATTATATTTACCTATTCGGGATTTACCGAATCGATGAAAATCCCTTTTATAACTGCAATAAGCATTTTATACTTATTCGCCAACCCCGTAAGAAATTTGGGTACTATGCTAGTAATTGATATAGGCTTATTACTAATATGTTCAGGAGTTCAGAAAATAATTATGGGGGCTCTTATATTTGGGAGTTGGTGTTAGTTGTGCTGACTTGAAAAGAATATTTGTCAACATTAGGTTTATTTACAAATAACAACAATAAGAAAATATGTGAGGACAAATTAACTGTAGGGAACATGTAACAAGGGAATTCAATGTTAAAATTACATGTTATGGGGAAATTAACACTACATATTGATTGATATGAAATATAATACTATAAAATTTTAATTGTATAAACAAAGTACTTCCATTATATTAGGAGAGAGAAATTCAATTAATTTTTCATCGTTTTATTGGAGAATTCTGCCTTCTGTACAAAATTACTTCCGTATGCATTGCACAAGACATGTCTAAAACGCAGCGTAACTCAGATTTGACTGCTCTGAAAGCAGTCGGTGAAATACGCAGCTATTGGTGCGCGCGTATTAGATGCGCGCGCATTAGATACGCAGCCTTGGAAACCACTTACACGAAACTCCATAAGACAAGTGTGCTGCGTCTTAGATGCGCACACGCAGCGCATCTATTACGCGTCTAGGAAACCACAGCCTAAGGAAAAGTAGCAGTGCCAAAAACCAACATTTACATTTAAGAAAAGAACTATAGTACTTACAACTAATTCAAACTGTCCTTCTAATCAAACTGTATTATAGGTGTTAATCCGTTGGTAAATAAATAAATACACAGGCCACAAAACATGTAACATGTAATGTTAACAATGTAAAGCTTTAAACACTCACTATGGTTTGCTCAAAAAAACTTTCACTTAATGTGGTGCAGTACCAAAGTTATTAATATCCCTTGTTTTTTGTTTTGTTTTCGAAATTCAAAGTTATTTCCTATTAATAGCATTATTTCTAAGCAACTTTTAATGTTAACATATTAATGACAGTTTGAAGAAACCACCTTTATCCAAACAAAGGTTTCTTATTTAAAAGATTACGTAATCTCTAAACGATAATCGGTACATATATCTAGCAAACATTCAGAGGAAATGTGACAAAAAACTTACAAATCTGGGGTTTTGGACGTTTGTAGTTTTACTTCTTAAGTAGGAAAAGTACCGATATCGTTGTTGAAATGTAAGTACTGTAAGTAGAAACCAAAGTGACACATTGGAAAAGCGAGTTTAGCTACATCTGTAAGTTAAACCTCTGTTACGATCACAGCGAAATCAGAAAGATCTTCCATGATCGCAGCAACATCCACGATCACCCACTGCAGTTGTGATTTTTTACTTTGCACTTTACACAACTATCCTTGAAGCGCCA